AACTAACTCAACCAATGTTTGTCCCTTGCTAGGAACAAAATGGGGGACCATTATTGTACAAAACTTACATTTTATGTGAGGACTTCCTCTTGATATGTGAATAGCTCCCAGAAACTGAGTACAAGACTAAACAGTATTTCAGTATTTCAGTATGTAAGTGGAAGAGTTACTCACTTGGCTGGGAATGGTATCTTCTCATCTATGAAGTCATATACAGAAATGATGGTTAAGTAGTATTTAAAGATTAGAATGGCCCACAATTGCAAACAGCAGAAGCAACTGGATAGCCCCATTTGTTGAGAGCGTCTCTGGATCTTGTTGTACCCGTAAAGGCTCTAGTGACAATTCTTAACAGTTATTGACCCCCTTAAGGTCCAGAACTTGGGAGTCCTCCTGGACTCACATGATGATATGGAGATAGAAGCTATGATCAGGATGGGGGGCCTTTACTCAAGGGGGTCTACAATCTACAGCCCTGGGTTGTGTAGCTCTGGCAATAGTTTTAAATTACGGGCCAAATTTATTTAATTATTTTAAATCTATTTTTAACTTTTGTGTACAAATGTTTTTTATCTTGGCTGTTCACCGCCCTGAGTCCGAAAGGAGAAGGGCGGTATAGAAATCTGAAAAAAAATAAATAGTTACGACCTTGTTTTCATGCATTTTGTAACATGGTCTACAGAAGACTACCTTTGAAGATATCCAGGAAACTGCAATTGGTAAAAAAATGCAACAGCCTAGATATTTGTAGGTGAGAGCCTCCTCCTGTAATATCACACCAATACTATAGTTTTGGCATTAGGGACCAATTAGTTTCTGAGTCTAATTCAAATGATGGTTATGATCTGTATTATTATATTATATGATCTACATGATTATATGATTTTTCTTTCATGTCTAAGTATATTCACCCATGTTGTATAGTATTCTTATCCTTCTCATTTTTTCTACTACCCCCTCTTATTGGTATCATTATTATGATTATTATTACTTGCTACTTTGCATGTACTCTGAGAGCTTCTGCACTGGAGACAAATTCCTTGTATGCCTAATCACACTTGGTCAAATAAAATGTTCTATTCTGTTCTAATTCTATTTTATTTCTATTCATCCACTTATGGATTGGCTCCTGGTTACCTTACAGAATATTCAATCCAGGTAGATTTGCCCAGTCTGCAAATTCAAACAATAAGGTATTGCTTAGAGCCCTGCCCCCGAGAGAGATCAAACAGGCAATCTTTCTCCATAGTGCCTGCCTCTCTTGCTTTTGAACACCTTATCCATAGAGATAGATCAGATTCCTTATTAGATTTTTGCAGAACCATTAAAACAATGTTTTAGTAGCTATTCCATGAGTACTTATTAAATTGGAGTGTGTGTGTGTGTGTGTGCAATCTGCTGAGGGCTTTGGGAGTTGATCAGTATGTAAATTGCTGTGAATAGATGTTTTTGGTACCATCTGACAAATGTCAAAATTTCTCCAATTGCAATGAAAGTGCTAACAGAAAGCTGCATTTTTCTTAGCCAAAGAAGTGTGTGTTTGTGTGCGCGCAAAAGTTATTAATTCTCTATCATTAAAAACTAATCTTGAAGTGAGGACGAAAATTATTTAGAAACAGACCTTTATTCATAGTAGAAATAATTCATCCAACATAACAGTAACACGCAATTTTTTAACAATGAAATGTTGCAACACGAATGGAATTTGTGAAAAACAGTAAATATTTTATTCTTCGCTTCCATTTAATATTTGAAAATAAACTTTATTTATATTTCATATTTCTTAACTGCCCATCTCCTTTGTAGAACAAAGGAGTATGAATAATTGTATTATTCATATTAATGTGCACTAATAGTTACATATATGGAGCTTACATAACAACTGCTGCCCAGATGATAATAGAACTTTTAACCTATTTTAAAAAAAGTTTATGATTTATTCCTTATGCTATAAGAGCCACTTCATTTTGATACTTGAATATGCAATTTTAAATAAGAATATTCCTTTCCTTGTAAAGACAGACATAACAAATACTGATTTTTTTTAGTCACATAACTTTAATATTGCAGAGAGAAGCATCTGACATTGAAACTAAGTTCATTCTTCTTTAAGACAGAAAACTGAACAAGCCTACCAGAGTAAAAAAATTATCTGTCTCATGATTTAGTGCTAATGTCTTAATATATTGGTGGCCTATTTCTCTGAATTCATTTACAATCCACAAAACCATCCAAATTCGTTTTTATCATCTAGTGACAACTGTTTAATTAAATACTAGACTTAACTCATTGCTCATAAATCCAGAATGTCATAATCAAAATGGCAGCATTGGAGCTTCCGGAGGAAAATGCTTGCTTCTACGTCTTTACTTGGAGTTGGGGTTTTTCTGGAACGCTGACACAAAATTTAGTAAAACATTTTGCAAAGTCAGTGCTGATTCTTCATCCTTTTTCAATCATTCCTTTATATTGAAAAACAGATCAGGAATCAGGCTATACTCTAAAATACCATGCATACATGAGCTAGGGCAAAGAGACAGACACACCTCAGGAAAGGTGTTAAAGCTGTTAAACTCTGTTTAACAGGAGAGGCTATCCAGAACTCCTGGCCTTGACTGGTCTCCTATTGCTTTCAGACCAGGGCTTTCCAATGTTTTACAATTTAGAAATCCAAGATTGCATGCCTATCAAAGTTTTAACAAAGAGAGTAGAAATTGCTTCAGAACAGAATATCCTTATATCAGTCTTAACACAGAAAGCATCTGTTAAAATTCAGGGTTTTTAAAATATGGTTTATGATCCAACTGTCAATTTGCATCCATGATTTAATAAAAAAATTCATGATTTAATAAAATTCCATTAACTTTTATTGAATTCTAAGCATCACTTGTGCCTTCTTCATAAATTTACTATATCTTTGAAGATATATAAGCCCAAAACACCGAGTTACTAAAAAACCTAGGTATATTTGACTTAAAGACACATTGAAAAAATACTATCACGTCAATCATCTCTACACCAGGTAAAGACTGATCAACACCTTGAGACAGTAAGGGCAGCAGCAACCTTTGTTACCAAGTGTTGTGCTAGGGATTAAATTCATGTTAACTATACCACTATTGTATTTTGCTTTGCACATGACTTACACCTGTTGCTAGAGCATGTTCTTTACTGATGCTCCGTATAACAGAATGTCCCATTATTGCCTGGAATGTATAAAAAAACCCGTATTTTTTTGCTTTCTGTTTTCATTGGATCAAGTTTGCAGGATCTGGGTTTGGCTAGCCTGGAGAAAAAAAGGACCAGGGGTGACATAAAAACAGTATTTCGGTATTTGAGGGGCTACCACAAAGAAGAGGGGTCAACTTATTTTCCAAAGCACCAGAAGGCAAGACAAGAAACAATGGATGGAAACTAATCAAGGAGAGAAGCAACCTTGAATTAAGGAGAAACTTCCTAACACTGAGGACAATTAAGTAGTGGAACAGCTTGCTGTCAGAAGTTGTGGGTGCTTTGTTGGAAGAAAAATCCTGGTCCAGTTCCATGCCAGAAATAAAATGGAGGCTGATTGGAAAATATGTTTATTGATGAACAGAACCACCACACACAGCCTGCAGTTCTGGGACAGCTGTCTATTAAAATAGAGTTGAGAGTGGGTGGATTTTTATACCTTCTTTGGGCTTTGTATTTGAAATTCTTATTCCTGTGCAAGAACATCCTTTAATATTCTAATGGCTGTTGTCAGATTCCTATGGGGTCATGGCTGGCTCTATAGGAAATGCAAATTCTAGGTGTTTGTCCCAGCTAATCTTGTCAATCTTTTGCTTGCCTAATTGTATTGCTTATCTGGAGTATCTGTCTGACCCAGTCTTTCTGGAACGGCTTACCAAATCTGTATTTCTAAAAGCTGGCCTCCTCAGTTTCTACTTAGGGCAGAGAGACTGGGGCTGGTTTCTGCCTTCCTTAAGGTTGTTTCCCCCATTTCTCTTTTAGGGGAAATATTCTATCCTGCCTTTTTAATATTCCCCTGTAGGAAGTTAGTACCCACCCCTTTCCTAGAAGAATGAAATATTTTAGTAAATATTAAAAAGGCAGAATATTATGTTTCCCTGTATGAGAAATGGAGAAGCATGTTTTAAAGTCAAAGCAGCTCCAACCTTCCTGCCCCCCCCCACCCTTAGTCAATGGACCATCATCTGCAACACAATAGGACCCATCTAGCAACAGAAACTCACCACATGGCACCTGGGAAGATTACATCAGCCAGCAAGGCTAGCTAAGACCCCCACCCCCTGGGAGTCTGACAACCAATCAGGATACTCTTTCGGGGCCCCAGGAAGTTCAAAGCCAGAGAGGGCATAAAACCCGGGGACTCGCTGCATCTCGCCCTTTTCTGTTCAGGAACTCAAACCATGTGATCCTGTCCACCATTAAACCATCTTTCCAAGCAGTCTCCATGTTTACAGTGTCTTTTTTCTCCACTTGGAGCTGAACCCAGAAGGATATTTCTTCCTACACCCCAAAACATTTCATTCTCCAGGAGGGTGGGTGGGTGCTGACTTTCTACAGTTTCATCACTGGAGGTTTTTAAAAAGAGGCTAGACAGTCACTTGTCTGAAACGGTATAGGGTCTCCTGCTTGAGCAAGGGGCTGGACTAGAAGACCTCTAAGGTTCTGTCCTGATTCCTATTCCTTTCCAATCCCTATTCCTATTCCTGTCCTGATTCCTATTCTATTCTGCCATAACCGGGGCAAGAACATTCATAATTATATGCGAAATAGAAAAATGTTCATTCTTCTCAAGGTATTTTGTTGCATCGGACATGCCCCACTTCATCCAGCTCAACAAAGAGCAGGAAGTAGAGTCACCCATCTACCCTTAGTCGTCCGAAGATCTCGTATTCCTCGGAAATTATCGCCCTTCTCCAGGCTCGCGATGTTTACATCATTTCCGGTTTGCTGAAGCAACCAGGCAGTTTTTCTGCCTTCGCCTTGCTGTCGCCTGAGGGGGGTTTTTTGTCTCCCTAGTGCGCATGCGCCACTCGCCAATCTCTTCACCGGCCCTCAGCGGCGGCGGCGAAGAAGGAGTTTGGGAGTTCAAAATGGCTGCCCCGACGTTGGTGGAGTTGGCAATGCGGGGACACGGGTAAGGTTGCTTTTTTTAAAAAAAAATTTAAAGAGGATAACTATGTTTGGCCTTTTTAGCTGCCTTTCACTTAACGAGGAGATGGGAGGGAACCGAGGGGGAGGGGGGAGAAAAAAGCGAGCGGTGGGCCTAGAACGCGCCATCGACGAGCTGTTATAACGGTCGCGGGGAGGCCTTGGTCGGGCCTGAGCCCGGAGTTCTGGCTTCTTCTCAATTACGGAGGCTGGGCTTCTTCTCCTTGCCCGAGCCGTCGTATTTAGTCGTACGGTTCTGACCTTCCTGTCGGTCAGTTGGGAGAGGAAAACCTTAACAAATACTTGGAAGCTCGTCCGAGGCTTCGCCTTCGCCTAACGGCTGCTACCTTCTAATGCCCTCCGCACGATCCTCTGATGAAGAAAGGGAGGGGGTGGGTTAGGGGGAAAAAAACCCCGACTCTTTGAAAAGAAAGCCGTCTTTGTCCTCATTAAATCGTGTGTGGAAGGATTGGGGCATGTGTGGTTTTCCTTTCTAAATATACTCCCAAATAACATATGTACACACACATGCTCAGGAGGAATAACCTTACCAGTGATCGGCCTTCTTTTTTTTTTTTATGGAGGAACGATATAACAAAAAAAAAATCAAGTGCAAATTAAGTGTTCGTGTGCACACTTATTTCAAAATGAATTAAAAAGGATTTTTTTTTTTTTTAGGTAAATGGGACTTGGGTAAAATGGGAATGTGAGCCTCCATTTTGGGGGGAGGGGTTGGCAACTGTTAAGGTTGATACACTGTATCTCTGTATTCTGGATCGTTAATTTTTGCTTTTCACTGTTTAATGTGTTTCAGGTAAGAGAGATATTGCTCTTTATGAAGGTTTGACACAAATTGTACTCCCCCATAAACTACAGTAGTGTTACATAGGATTAGAAGAATTTGATCCTTCTCCTTGACTGATTTAACAACTTGCACTAAGACGCAAGTGTGTTAGAGATAGTCTGCATTATCCCACTGACTTTTGGCTATAATGTTGAAGACCAATGGAGGTGGGCTCCAACAGCATAATGAGTTGGCTAGTATTAGATTCTAAGGTGCTTTGTACACAACGTTATAGAAGAAAAATTTCTATTTTAGATATGAAACAATTTTAGATATGAAAATGACATACTAAATATGTTTTTGACAGTGAGGCAGTAAAGTATGGTATCTAAATGTTAAACTTCAGCTTCTTTAAAGTTCTATTCCATTTGATTAGTCAGTTGCTAAATACAGCGAAACAACTACAATGACTTCAAACCCCAAATAATGAATAATGATCAGTTACTGATATGTCTGTACAGCTGTTCATTGTACACATGCCTTGGTGTTTTTCCTTCTTTGCACCTATTGCCATTCTTGTTCATTGTCCTTGAATCACTGACCCATCTAATGTTTCGAGATGGAGGAGGAAGGGTAGAAGAGACCCTGAGCCAAGCAGCATCTCTTTAGTGCTCCTTCTCCACCTCCTCAGTGATACAAAGGTGATCTCTTGCTCCTCACCAGTCTCCACTTAAGTTTTTTTCCATTCCTCTGTATCCCTGTCCAGCCCATCCTATAGCACCCCATTTCGATTTTTTAAAAAACAAATCAAGCTAGACTGATTTTTGTAGTAGACTTTAGTAATTTATGCATTAATAGCACAAGCTGAATTGGATATGTTTACACTTATGAAATTAATTGCTACTTTATCATTCAAAGCTAGATTCTTACTATTGTTTTCATAAGTCATGCCCATCATTTGGTCAGACAAAACTGATCTGAGGGCAGGATGGCATAAATATAACATTTGGTGGAGGTGGTGCCTATTCATTTCCCTCATTTTCTCAAGGGATAAAGATTTTGATAAGGTGAGATTTCTGATTTAAAAGGCTAATCCAAATATATACTCTAGTCCCGCCTTAGGTTTGAAAGCCATCTTGGTGACTTTGGGCCAGTCACTTTTTCTCAGACCTCACAGGATTGTTGTGAGGAAAATAGGAGGAGGAAGGAGTGTTAGATATATTGGCTGTCTTTAGTTGTTTATAAAAATAATGAAGCCGAGTTGTAAATTAAATACAAAAACTAAAAATTTTGATGTGGAGAAAAAATGTTGTAAGAATTTTGTAAACCATGTTTCAGTATTGGAATCAACATATTAATCAGTTAAATAATATGCAGTTGCAAAGTATTTTAAATGTCAAGGTTTTTTTGGAATAATCACCTGTAAAGCAAGCACCGTATATCTTAAGAGCCAGAGTTTTCTGTAATAGAACACATGGATTCCAAAAAAATTTCCATTCACATTGGTTAAAGACAGGTCAAAGGGAGAATGTTTTATACTGTCACAAACTAGCAAACCTGATTCCCTGGCATTTCATTTACTCATTTCTTTGTCATTTCTACCTTTTGTGTGAAATTCTAAATATTACATCTATATAACTGAAATCAATTTCCACCCATTTTCTAGATAATTTGACACTTGAATTCTATCATGTGACATTTATTTATCTAAACAGTAGAAGTAAACGTGTACACCCAGCAGATCATTTTGCTACCTCTCTCTAAAAATGATTTAAATTATTAAATATCTTAGAATTATCTGATTGGAAAATATAGCATAAAGAATATTTTGTTGTTTAAGTTTATTTAGATTCTGCTTTTTGAAATATATTCACAGAATTGAAGAAGCTGATATATCTGAACGAAGTGCAAATGAAGAAAATGGAGATATTTCAGAAGGAGACCAACCACAAATTAAACATAGTCGACATAAAAAAAAGAAACACAAACATCGAGGCAAACATAAGAAACACAAACATTCTTCAGAAGAAGATAAGGACAAAAAGCATAAACATAGGCACAAACATAAGAAACATAAACGAAAGGAGGTTGCCGATATCTCTGATAAAGAAGATGGGCCAGCAAAAAGAACTAAAATTGACTTCTTAGCTCCTCTAGAAGATTTAGAGAAACAAAGAGCATTATTAAAAGCTGAACTTGAAAATGAGCTAATGGAAGGAAAGGTTCAATCTGGGATGGGATTAATATTACAAGGATATGAGTCAGGTTCAGAAGAAGAAGGAGAAATCAATGATAAGGCGAGAAATGGAACTAGATCTGCAAATAAATCAAATGTTAAGGGAAAGCTTGAGATTGTAGACAATAAAAGTTCAAAGAAACGCAGTAAGAGCAGATCAAAAGAACGGACTCGACACAGGTCTGATAAAAAGAAAAGCAAGTCAGGAGTTGATGGTATAAAAGAGAAAGCTACTAGAAGTAAATCAAAAGAAAGAAAAAAATCTAAAAGCCCATCTAAAAGAATAAAGTCTCAGGATCAAATAGGAAAGTCAAAATCTCCAACCCTTAAAAGGCGCTCTCAAGAAAAAAATAGGAAGTCACGATCTCCTCCTGAAGATAAAACTAAAGCAGAAGATAAGATCAAATCAAGAGATCGTAAAAAATCTCCACTTATTAATGAAAATAAAATTAGAGATCGTAGCAAAAGATCCAAATCTCCAATAGAACAAAGAAGCAAATCCAAAGATAGACAATCAAGATCGAAAGATCGAAAATCCAGGAGATCTGAGGCTGAAAAAGAAAAGAAGCTCATCAAATCACCTTCAAAAGATATGTCATCAGGTAAAGAAAACAGGTCTCCTAGTAAAAGACCTGGTCGTAGTCCTAAAGGAAGAAGTTTATCCCCAAAACCACGAGATAAACTAAGACGCAGCAGATCACCCCTGCTTAATGATCGCAGATCTAAACAGAGTAAATCACCATCTCGAAATCAGTCTCCTGTTAGGAGAGCAAAGAGCAGATCAGCAGATAGAAAAAGAAGAGAATCTGAAAGGAGACGTTTTTCTTCTCCAAGGTAATGCTGATGGAAAAAAATAATGATTTTGGTTTAGACATTATTCACAATTGTGAAAGTGGGAGTGGGTGGAGGATGATATTTGCCAATATTCTTGCATGCTCCAAAAATCTGCCTTTGGGATGGTATGTATGATGATATGATATTGGGGATGTAACAAATCAGCAAAATTCATGTCACTTCCTAGCTGTTAGTTATATTGCAAGCTGTCCATGAATAATGGATCCTGTTTTAGAAGATGAAGTCTGGCAGGACCTAAAGAATGTGCAATAAAAAAATAAATGTTTATATTGGGTGCAATAGAAGGGTGAGTTGGCAATGAATAGAAAAACCTTAGAATGTGTAAGCATGTGATTTATTTATTTATTTATTTTTGTAGTGCCAGTCTGTGACTTGTATTATTATGAATTGACTCATTTTCATTAGTTTCCGCTACAGTACTATTCTGTTATTTTCGGTAGAAACTACCTGCCTAATGATGATTATGTTACAAAAAAATCAACAGACTTAAGATAGTTTTACATAAAAATATATTCTACCAGTAATCAAACTCAAAGAGAAGCATATCTATGGCAAGAGTCAGTTTACCTTGAAGGGATTTAGAGCAATGTATATCATATAACTGCCATCAAGTCTAGCCATGTTTTGGGGGTTTGTTTAAGATATCTGTGTTTTTGGGTTCAGTGAATGCAGATGGTTATAAAAGAGTCACTCTTTTTGATAATAAGGGCAAGCTGCAGAGGCAGTGCAATTCAGATATTAACGAGAAGTATCAGGTGGAAGCACCTGATCTGGTCCTAATTGGCAGATAAATTGCTGGGTTGTATAACAATCTGAGGTGTGATTGTATTGTTCAGAACGGAAAAACACATTGAATATAGTAATAAATATATTTGTATTTTGAGAATTCTAATTTGACTAACACATCTTTTCTTAAAGAAGATGTTAGGATTGTCCTCTTTATTCCTCTGTACTTGTCATTTAACAGCCAAACGTAAACAGGGATTAAATAACTATAATGTAAATTAAAAAAATTTTAGTAAACAATCCTCAGATTGCTTATTGGAATCTAATTAGTGTTTGTGTTGCTATAATTTTATTTTGGGAATCAGTTCAATGATATCTGTCAATATGCATCAATTAGTGAGCAGTCATTGAATATATTAATATGTCTTGTGTTTTAAAATGCTGCATATTTTAAAAGAATTTCAAATTCAGTGGAATTTATTTCTGTATAATTGTTATAAGATGAAATTCACAAATTACATGAAAACTGAAAATCTATTGAAGCAATAGATTCTTAGATTTTGAACCTCTTGACAGTGAATTTTGGTGTTGTGTGTTTTAGTTTTGTGTAACAGGCATAGGTACAGAAACAAATTTAAAATACTAAGTTGACACAAAACTTCCATATTTAACATAGAAACAATATCAGTAATCTTTTAATTATGATTTAATGTAAGATTTTAATGAGTTTGGCTGAATTATAAGTAATCCTAAGAAATGCATTTTTATCAATATGCTGCTTGTATACTTTTTCTGATAACTTTTAAATGTCATATTTTATTAATTTGTTATTAAATCATTAAACTGGAAACAACTGTTGTGACACTTAGGAATTTACAGAAAGGAGATAAATAAGGAGGGATATGATTGAGGTATACAGAATTATAGTGTGAATAAAATAGACAAGGAGAATGTTTCCTTTTCCAGAATTCTAGAATCAGAATCATGAAATTGAATACTGGAAGTATTAGGACAGAGAAAAGGATTTTTTAAAAACTCAATGCATAATTAAACTTTGAAAATCATCAACATGAGAGTTTTATTAGCTGTCAGTTTGGCTAGCTTCAAAAAAAAAAGGATAAAACCAATTCATTGAAGTTATAGGAAACAAGAAGAAACCGCTGGATTAGATGGGTCAATGTCTGATTTAGTAGGGCATCTCTGTTCTTATGTTAAAATCCATTTCGCAACTACAAGAAGTCCGGATCCAATTCACCAAGTTTAACTTAGCATAGATCTAAGTTACAGTAATGAAAAGAAAAATATTTTCAATGATGAGAAGCTTTTGAAATTTGGGGAAAACAAAATTTTCAGGCTTTCCTTATGCACATTTTATACAGTATGATTAAGCTTAAGTATATTGAATGTGAGAAAGCAAAATAATGTCTGTTGAATTAGTTGCAGTATTGCTAGAGGCAATAAAATAGGTGAGGATTAAGTGTACACACCGGCTAATACTTTGCTGAAACCTAAAACTGCTGTAATATGTTGTATAATATGAAGGAAGTATTATCAGGAGATTAAATTTGCTCATGATAATATGCTTTACTTATTGCAAGAATCCTTTTACTAATTCTGTAAGTAAAATCACATCATTTTTACATTGTATAGTGTACTACTTTTCAAATATATGTGCTACTTTGTCCCATTTATGTCTTGAAAAGTAGTGGATGGAGTTCACACTTTTTTTGTTTCTATAGATATGCTTATACTATATCTTCAGTTTTGTAGTCCAGAATCATGTATATTGCTGAAATGCAAGACAGTATATTGAAAAGAAAAGAATAGATTTCTTTGTTGAGGAAAGCAAAAAATGTGATAGTTAAGAAATGTTACTTTTTTGCCTCCCTCAGCTGATACCCCCCTCTTTAAACAGTAGATAATGCTTTCTTGATTCATTTTTCTAGATTAAGCATTTCAGTTTTTATCTGCCACACTGTAATCATTGTAAAGCTATCATTAGAGTCTGACTTTACTTTCATAGCTTTTAAAAAAACACTCATCCTTAACATTTAAAAATATTTTTCTACAACAATTTGGATAACAGTGGAGCCTGTTGTGAATTTTCACTTTATTATTTCCAGACTAGTTTTACAACTATAATCTGCAATTTACCTAATTGCAGATTACGGTTGTAAAACTAGTCTGGATAAATTACTAAAACTAATCCCTTCTGTTGCCCATTTTACCAATAGCTGGGTAGGAATACAATCACAATCGGAAGTTTAAAATATACTGTGAGTAGTGATGGAATAAAGCCACAGCTTGAGATTTAAAATACATGTTAAAGGGAACTTTCTAGTGAATCTTATGCAGCCTAAGTGCATATACTCAATAATTACATTTTTGCTTAGTCTCTGGCTGATAGAACTAGATCTTTCTCTACCTGGACCGTCTCTGCAGGTAGATTCTAGTCCCCAGTCTAGGTTTCTGGATTGTACATGCTCCATTTGAGAAGCTATTCTTAAAATAAAACTGCTGACATAGATCCAGCCTCTCCAGTCCATCTCAGGATCAGTCAACATTAATAATTTTAGCACTGTTGGCATCACTGCAAACTTCAGAGAAAGAATCTATAGTAATGATATTTTTGCTTTATTACATGTTTTTAAAATATGTCCCTAATAACTACATAAACACAAGTGCAGGAGGGTCAAATTAATGTATATGAAAATAGAGTTTAAACATTTCATGTAAATTTAGATGCTGATAAATCATGTTTCATTCTTTAGAAATAACACTGTCTTTAGTGTTATTTAAGTTTCCGTTTTCTAGATTCTTGATTTTAGAATGTAAACTAGGAAATAAGTCTTGAGTTATATTTCATTCCTTGTCAGCTATAAATTTAACTCAAAAGATTGTGAAAATCTTTCCAGCCTGATATCCTCTAAAGCAGGGGTGTCAAACTTGCAACCCACGGGCTGGATGCGTCATGTGCTGGCCCTGCCTCCACCTGGTTTAGCAAAGGGGGGAAAAGTCCCAATACATCACGTGACGCCACTGTGATGGCGTGAGTTTGACACCCCTGCTCTAAAGCTTCTGAACTACAATTTTGTCATAGCTCAGTTAGATTGCTAATCATCAGAGAAGATGAGATCCTAAGTCTGAGTTAGGTAACAAAAATCATCTTTTTGTTTAACATTTTTCTTCTGTTTAAATTTATCTGTTAAATATTCTTTTCTAGTTTAATTTCAGATTGAATTTTTAAAGTGGCTTTCATCTAAGGTTATAATTCCTTTTTCTTTTTTACCTGCTTCAAGAACACGAACTAGAGATGACATCCTCTCAAGAAGGGAGCGATCAAAAGATGCCAGTCCACCTAGATGGTCTCCTTCAAGAAGAAGATCCAGGTCTCCACTTCGACGAAGATCTCGCTCTCCACTTCGACGTAGCCGGTCTCCAAGAAGGAGAAGTAGATCTCCTCGGAGGAGGTATATAAGTGGTATAGTTTGTAAGCAAAATAAACACTGTACAAGTGGTATTTTCCATTAGTATGAGGGGTTGATTTTCTCCATCTGGCTTCCACCTGCCATCAAAATACATTGGTATCCTGAAATCTCTTGTCCCTCTGAAGCAGATTTGAGAATATGTAATGCTCTGCAATAGGGAAGATTGCGTTATTGTTTGTTACATGATGCAGTGCAATCGTATCTGTATGCTAAAAAATAATGATTCTTTTCAAAGTGAGTTTACTTTTTCCAATTTCATAGCTGAAACTTCGTGTCAGATTATTCTATATTTCTTCTTGCCAGTAAATGTTTGAATAAAAGTATGTTATCCTAATATGGCTGTTAAAAAATAGATATGGTTGTTAATCTAGATGTTTTAAACTACAGGTTCTGCAATTTCTGATTGTCTGCCACCCTGGCTATACTTGAAAAGTTTTGAAAGACATCACGATACCATGGTGTTACTGTTAAATCAGAAAAACTACTCTGGTATCTTTTCAGTGATATATATGTGTATCTCCTTTTAAACAATTTTAGTCTTTGAATTGTAAAATAATAGTATCAAACAAAATGAATATGTTTGTTATAAAAGTACATATTTTGTTAAATCCATTTTCAGAGACAGGGGTAGACGTAGTAGATCTCGTTTGAGAAGGCGATCCAGATCACGAGGTGGCCGTAGACGACGGAGCAGGAGCAAAATAGAAGATAAATTTAAGGGAAGCCTTTCAGAAGGAATGAAGATTGAGCAAGAATCTTCATCTGATGAAAAGTAAGTGTTGTATTTCAATATCTCATATAGCGAGATACCCTGGAATGATAAGAAACCTTAAATTATGAATTTAAGCTAGTAAGTAAAGTACATTGTAATGGATTTGCTTTTGTTGCATTAGTTATGCTGTTCCAGTGCTTTTTTCATTAAGATGGGATAGAAACATGGTAGGGAAAATGATTTTTTTCAGTTGTTTTAAAACTCTAGAAATTGGATTGGTATTGAAGCGGTTTAATAATATAACTGAATATTTACATATTAACTATGAAAAGCCCTGGGAACAGGTGAAATACTGGATGATTGTTGGATGCTAGATATCTGTATCAATACTTTGGGAAATCTTTAGAGTAAATCATAAGGGAGAGCTCTTCGTAAGCACCTTAAAAGCAGTGCAGTGGTCAGCGTGGATTTGCCGAAAAATTCTTGATAGACTAATCTTATCTTATATTGACCCCCCAAACTGGATTTTTTAAAAAATGATACATACTGAATTTATCTTGATTGTATCAAAGATTTCTCGAAATAGTAATAACCATTTAGTTTGCTCACAAAAAACCCACATAAAATAGGGTTACTCGCTTAACAGCCACCACAATTTACCACCATAGTTCCATGGTAAATTACCGTCGTAAGATGAGGACTACCTGTACAAGGGAGACTAGTCTTCCCTATATAATAACTGAAATAAACATAATTTGGGTAATATAATTTTTATTTATTGTAATTTTTTAAATCCCACCTTTATTATTTTTATAAACTCAGGCCAAACATATTCCTTCTTCCATTTCCCCAACAACAACAATCCTATGAGATGAGTTGACTGAGAGTGTGACTACCCAAAGTCACCCAGGTAGCTTCATTTCATTATGAAAGGGGGAAAGTGTTTCCAGTTCCCTGAAATTCCTTAAAATGAAACAATTCTTGTTCGTAAAAGTGTAGAAACTTCCTGATAGTGATGGAATTGAGAACTACGAAATGGACATGCATCCCAACATGGGAGAAAATCCCCTTTTCCCTCTAACCAGCTTTCTTCAGGAAGACTTTCTAATTAAGAAGCTTTTAAGATAAGGTAAAGAAAAATAGCTGCTGCCTAAGGACACAGATAATATTTTCTGTGAACTTCAGGCCAAGAATGTTGAATGTTATTTTGAAAATACATGTTCTTGTATCAGTACATACAGTACTAAGATGTCAAATGGTTAATTTATATAATAATAGCCTTGAAGACTTCGATGTTGAAGAAGAAGATGAGGAAGCTCTAATTGAGCAAAGAAGATTACAGAGGCAAGCAATTGTGCAGGTTTGTTATGTTGCTAATTCTACTCAGACCAGACTAAAATTTTTAGTAGACTTATTGGAAGAAATGTCATTTACTTGTAACATCTGGGAGCTGTCCAGAGTTTGCTTTAAGACGGCTATATGAATGTTTTAAATAAAAAGTTTGGTAAATTCCAGATATCATGTACACAACATTGTAATTGTAATTGTCAGGTGTAAAAATAATCCTACTATTCAAAGTTGTAATGGCTCTGAATGACATTTGTTAAAACATTTATAATGTAGGGCCTTTTTTTTTTAAAGGTGACCTTTATGGGTTGCACAAAAGAAATCTTTGCAATTAATGAAAACTGAGGAATTCTTAAACTTGTATAACTATTGTACGTAGAGCTAGATGTCTGCACATTATGGATAGAAAAGAAGTATGCCTCTGTTGAATCATTGTCTTGTTCACTTTATCAAGGCATTAGCTCAAACAACTGCTGTACATTATTACAACCTGTGGAGAGATATAGTGAGCTTCAAAACGGATAGTTCATACTCGCTAGAGTGTGTTCAGATATTAAAATGGCCTTGCATTTCCAAACATTTTCTGACATAATTGGTTGCTACTGTGTATCTCCCCACATATGTGGCAGCTGAAAGAGGAAAGTAGTTAAGAAGAAATAGACTGAAAAAAGGACTTGCATAGTAAATGCCAGGCTATTGCAGTTTGGAATGTACAATATGAAATGGATTTCTCAGTCTAGAATTGATTGAATGCATATTTATTTATTTATAAATCGAATTTAGAGACTACCCATCTCACAGAGCAACTCTGGGCAGTGTACAATTAAAAACATCAAAATAGTATATTTCAATAAGAGGAGGCAGTTACAAGAAGAATAGAACAAAGTTAAAGGGGGGGGTTGCCATTAAGGTGCTCTAAGTGAGGTGGTAGAGCCAGGTATTCAAACTCTTCCAAAAGAGTATCTGCCATGTAGACCTTTAAAGCACATAACCAACTTCTTGAATTGGACCTGGAAGCAAACTGGTACCCAGTGCAACTTAATGTAACAAAAGATTACATGCATCACTCTTGCAAATTTGCTTTCACAGCCACATTCTATACCAGCTGAAGCGTCCAGATACTTTTCAAGGGTAAGCCCCATGTAAAGTGTATTGCAATAGTTCAAGTGGGAGATGGCCAGGGCATGAGTGGCTGAGAGAAGGGCCTCCATATCCAAGAAGGGATGTAACTTGTGCACAACAGGAAGTTGATTTGCTTTTATAGCAGAATCTTAATTCTTGGGAGGTTGCTCTTGGGCTTCAGGAACGCAGCAAAAACACAAGAGATATAAAATGCAGATATATAGTGCAGGAGGGGCAGTGAATAGATTCTTTTATAATGCTGAAGGAAGTATAAATAGCATTTTTATTTATCTCATTATCAAATCCAATATAAATTATGGCTTTTTTCCTTTTTAGAAATATAAGTACTTAACAGAGGATAGTAACATGTCAGTGCCATCTGAACCAAGCAGCCCTCAAAGCAGTACTCGCAGTCGTTCCAACTCACCAGAAGGCATTCTTGAACGGGTAGCAGCTGATGTTAAAGAGTATGAACGAGAAAATGTGGACACTTTTGAAGCCTCAGTGAAGGCAAAACACAACCTCATGGCAGTTGAACAAAATAATGGTAACCATTACAGAGTTTTTAATACACTCTGAAAGAGTGATTATCAAATAATCAACAGCAAGATATTTACATTAGGACAGCTAAGTAAAGCAAGTTATATCCTTAATTTATAACGGAATATAAACTATTTTTGTTACTTGTAGCTAAATAGAAAATTAGCTAAATTATGACTGAAGCCACTGATGGACTTGAGACACTGAAGACAAAAATATATTCATCTTGATAGACTTAATTTATAGACTTTAAAGATTCCTCTTCAATCTTTAGCACAATAGGTGTACTATAGTGCTGGGCAGACTTCTGTTCCTGCAGTGTGATTTTCTCCTTTCATTCCTTTCCCCTTCCTGCAATTTTCTTTTGTCCTCAAAAATGTTCTGTCTGGGAACCTCTGAAGTACATTTTCATGGCATATAGGGGTGCAAAAGATAAGAGAAACTATTACTTGTTTCTCTTTGCAAACATCTATAGAACTGAACCTAGTTTAATGTCACTTAATACAATATATCAGACAGGGACACAGTGTACATATTTCTAAACAGCACCATGTATTAGCATTTCAAAGTTTATTTAATACTGTAATAAATATAGTGGCATGTATTTAATATTAAGATTACTTACAGTTAAAAGAAAAATAGAAAATAGAATTAAACGTCCATCTCTCTTAGCTAGTATGAGTATTTCAGCTCACTCATCCTTACATTCTCAAAAACCAGAGAAACTGTTTCATATGCAATGATAAATTGACGTACTTTACCTAGTTTTACTGTCAAGAGCTATAAAACATCCTTCTAGTTTAAAAATTAAGATGTACTAGAAAACCCATGCTCCGTTGGGTTATCGTTTCAGATATATTTCCTAAGCAGAGAAACCAAATGACCAAAAGCACTGGGAGCAGGGACAACTTCCAATTTTCTGCTGGCTTGCCCATTGAGTTTTCTTGTGGGAATCTGGCAGAGAACGTTGAAAACCTCCCCTCCCTTTTCCTTTCCAGCAAGCAAGGCTGCTGCTAAGTGGGGGAGGATGGAGGGATTGTGAGACTGGCTGGGAAACTATCATGGAACATTGAAAATGATTGTGTGACCACAGCAGCAATGCAGCAGCAGCCAGAAGCACTGAAATAGTCACAGCTTTTCCAAGTTTCATTCCCTTAGGAGTCATACTGGATTTTAGACACGTTCTGTAATTTAGCCCATTTGATGTACCTTGGTTCAAAAATTGTTAGCCTATGATGCACCATTTCGCCCAGTTCAAGATCATGATGAGAGCTTTAGTAGTATATAGGTTGCACGTTTTAATTTTGGAATCTCTAAAAGTTGAAATGAGTGTATTGTGTAGTTTAAACTGTAAGAAAAGCTGTTTGGGAGATTCAGCTCTTAATTCCTATCTTCTCTTGAGTTGAGGTAGCATAGCTTTCTCCATTCAGAATTGTAAAAGTAACCATCTTAACTTTAGTGCTCAATAAAAACCTTATTCTTCAGTCATTTCAAGCCCATAGATTTTAATTGACCATCTTGGTAGTGTTTATTTATGGATTGTTGGTTTATTTATGGACTGTAATTGTGTATATGTCATCCAAGATGATCTCATTAATTATACATTGAGTGTGTGTGTTTAAACTTGTTAATCATTTCATTTTCTTTCATTCTAAGTCTAATTATTTGAATATTTGTTTAAGGTTCATCTCAGAAGAAAATCACAGCTCCTGATATGTTTACAGAATCAGATGATATGTTTGCTGCATATTTTGACGTAGGTGCACTAATAGATATATTTTATCACGGTTGTTGAAATGCAGCACTATTTTAGTGAAACAAATATATAAAAACCTCTTAAAACTCACTAAATTATTTTGAGAAACAGTTTACAATATGATTCTAAATATGATTCTTCAACCGTTTTTACAATCTTGAAGAGGTGATAGTGCAATTTCTCAGTGGGATGTAAATGGGTAAATATTAAAATATATTTAACGTTAGTTAAATATGCGCTGGTATCTTACTCTTAGGTTAGTAGATATTTAATGTAGTATAGGTTGCTTAATATTATAGACTTATATACTGCTTCATAGTGCTTTACAGCCCACTCTAAGCGGTTTTACAGAGCCAGCATATTGCCCCCAACAATCTGGGTCCTCATTTCACTGACTGGAAGGCTGAGTCAACCTTGAGCCTGATGAAATTCAATCTGCCAAACTGCTGGCAGCCAGTGATCAGCAGAAGTAGCCTGCAGTACTGCACTCTTAACCACTGCGCCACCGCGGGTCACACACACACACACACACACACACTTCAGATATTTAAAATGTGATGAAAAAGCTTAAATCTTTATTTCAGAGTGCACGTCTTAGAGCTGCTGGCTTTGGAAAAGACTTCAAAGAAAATCCAAATCTCAGGGATAACTGGACCGATGCTGAAGGATATTACCGTGAGTACAGTCGCTAAATTTCTTTTGTGTTATCTGCTGAATAACACTTGTAAATTAATGTGTTTTATTATTAAAGTGTCTTCATTCTGCATAGCTAATTTGTAAGTAGCAATGCTTTCACTAGTTCTTGTGCTTTGTTTTGAATATACAAGGCATCTTACATGCTTTTCTTTTCCATTCTCTCCTCCCCATTCCAGGGGTTAACATAGGTGAAGTGTTAGATAAACGTTACAATGTGTATGGTTACACTGGCCAAGGAGTTTTCAGTAATGTGGTTAGAGCCAGAGATATGGCGAGAGCAAACCAAGAAGTGGCTGTGAAGATCATTAGAAACAATGAACTTATGTAAGTGAGAAAGTTCAAATGCTTTTGATTGTATTGAGCCATTCAATAATAGTAGCAAATAACAAATATAAAAGAAATTCTGTTGAGCACATTTATCAATCATATGTATAATTAACTGAAATTAAACTTCAGCGGTTAGTTTTAGTCACTAGAGAACAGGGTTTTTTCATATACCATATTGCTTAAATCATTAATATATTTTTAAATCAAATGTTTTCCGTAATTTAATAAATAGCATGTGGGAAAATGCAAATTGTTTGGCCTCGTCTAAATATTTCTGACATTTAACTTATTCATTAAATAGTGACTTAGCCACATGTTATAGGAAAAATTGAAATGTTGTCTATTTCCTTAACTTCAGTTGTTCTTTATATATTTATATGGCATTTGAAGGGAACTTTTGGCAGCTCTCTTATTTCTCTTAGTATTTAAGCCAGAAACAAGTGATTTCAAAATGCAACAGAAGTAAGATATTACTACAGGTGTGCACAGAATGGAAATTATATTTTGTTCCAAGCCTGCAATAAACCATCACTCCTAGAAGCTTGATTGAGCCATATTGGGTCAATTGCAGTTTGGCAAATTGAAAATTGGTTGACTTTTAGGGTTATTATTAATTTTTTCCAGAGCAAGTTGCAGTGGAATCCTGGCTTAACTGTGCAGGGCAAGTGCAGTAACACTAGTACACATCTCCCATGCTACCCTCAGCAGCTTCTACCATGCCAGATCTCACTGATCTGCTTCCTTTACCTTCCAGTGTCTTCTTTCCCGGCACTCCCATAGCTATTGCCACCCCTAGTGCTGTCCCCAGTTAAGAGCAGATTCTCAGCATGGCATATCTCATTGGCTTTCCTACCCTTAACTTTTGCCAATTCCTTCCCTCCTCTGTCTCCCCTCAATTGCAACCAGTGCTCTTAGTCTTCCTTTTCCCTTCCACTTACTTACACTGCCACCTCTACCAGGAACAGCAGTCCTATTCTGTTTTATGGACCCAAAAATGTGCAATGCATTTTTCCTCTCAGACGTTTCTATGCTTGGAACGCTGTATGCCTAAACAATTTACATATCCCCAGATTTTGCTACATTTAATAGGAAAGGAATACATAATGAATTAAAACGTTATTTCTCATAGTTCTTGCCCATGGTAACACAAAAAAATCCAAGTGCCCAGAATTTGCATTTTTATTAATTGATCTGGTTTTGAATGGATATGAACTTCAAATTCAAACGTTTTTGAAATGTTAATGGAAAACTATAAGATTGAAAATTACATGATTGAATATAGATGGAAGAGGAGTTTGGTTTTTGTGTTCGTAATAAATTATATTTTTTTCAGGCAAAAAACTGGTTTAAAAGAACTGGAATTCTTGAAGAAGCTCAATGATGCAGACCCTGATGACAAATTTCATTGTCTACGTTTGTTCCGACATTTTTACCATAAGCAGCACCTTTGTCTAGTGTTTGAACCTCTGAGGTATGTATCAAAAAGTAAATTTAAGCCCCTTTAAAAATAAGTTTTATCATACTGATTTATGAAGTTTTACATTGTTATAATGCTTCAGAAATAGTTATTCCACCAGTTTAATGATAATTTTCATATTTAATGAACATATTTGAGGATTAATATAAATCTGTTCATGTATTCACAGTTTAAAGCTACACATGCACTGGTCTCCACTTCCCTGTTCCAATCAACAAATTTAAGACGATTCTTTCATATGTTAGCAGTTTTTAATCAGATAGCTGTAACTGTAACATATAATTCTTGATTGAATAATAAATATTAAATTAGTGAATTCTGACAGAAGAAACAGTATAAAACCAGTAAGTGGAAGACATAATTTTTTTAATGTGTATTTGAAGCACTTAACATAAAATCCTTTGATTTCTGTGCAAGTATTGAAGCAGTTTGTCAGCTTGAAAAGATAATTTGTTTTCTTAGCATCAAATTTCTGTCAGTTTTATTTGAGGTGGACGTTGAAAAATAACACTCTACAGTTGCTAAGAAACATCTATACTGTAATTAATGCAAATAAGTTTTCACAATCACCCATCTGTTGCTTAGCTGCTTGGTTTTCATACAAATCTACTTAATGAACTTAGCACACCTGCTCTTTTCAATAGTCCTTTGCAAGTAATTTGAAGAATAAAAAATACTATGTAAACGTTTTTAAAATATATTTATAATAAGTCATTTTTTAAATATTATTCTGCAGATTTTTGTAAAAATGAATTTTGTGTATTAAGTTTTGTTCTAGTTTCATTGTTTTGGTTCTCAATTTAGTATGAATTTACGAGAAGTTCTAAAGAAATATGGAAAAGATGTTGGTCTCCATATAAAGGCTGTGCGATCCTATAGTCAGCAGTTATTCCTGGCCTTGAAACTTCTGAAAAGATGCAACATTTTACATGCTGATATCAAACCAGATAACATTTTGGTAGGTAATCTCAGTTATAGTTCTATAGCAGTTTTCTTTGAAAGAGACAAAAGTATTCATCATTTGTAACATTACAGCTGAATTGCCATATCAGTTGCTCTCATTGCCATACTGTCATTGCATTTTGTGTGTGTGTGTGTGTGTGTGTGTGTGTGTGGTCCCAACATAATCTAGGGATTACCCTGACAGATAAAAAAGAGGGATTTCTATTGAAAGTGCAAAACATTATTCAGATGATATGTAGCAGAGTATTTTGCCCATTGTATATCAAAGTGGAAAAATGTGAATGCCTTATGGTTTGGATTATTGTGATTTCATTTTTTATTGAATTATCAATAAACTGCATAAATTCCAGTTGTTTTCAACAATGTTGCTATAAACTCCTCTTTAATAGAAAATGTAGCACCTTCACAAGTAAGATCAATACATTGCAACATAGTCAACTTCTCAATATTTTGACATTTTTGCTTCTAATATGAAAATAACCCACCTGGATTATAGACCAAGGTGTTATTGTGTCCACTATTCTGTTTCTTAATAGCCTATAGCAGATCATTTAAGCGTAATGATTAGCATATCTGTGTGTTGTATGTATAATAAATTACAAAAAAAGAATGATTTCTATTGAAAGCGTGTGTGTGCATGCACACACACACATATAGTAGTGCCACTTATTATTTTTATCCGTAATTATTATTTTTGCTTCTTTTAGGTGAATGAATCAAAAACCATTTTAAAACTTTGTGACTTTGGATCAGCTTCACATGTTGCTGACAATGATATCACACCATATCTTGTTAGTCGATTTTATCGTGCTCCTGAAATTAGTAAGTTAATTACTCTATTTAGGTTAAAATTATTAATAAACATTAATTTAACTTTTATTAGAGTTTTATGATTGATATCATTCTTTGGTGTGATATCAGATATGTATAATCCTTAATTAATATGAAAATGTCTATAGAAATTGGAATCTGAAGTTTAGATTACAGCTGAATGGAAGGTAGGGGCCACTTTAAAAATCTCATGGTTTGGGGGTTTAACCTCTTTAATTTCTTTTAAGTCCTCATTTTTTTTTCCTTGTTGAGAACTATGCCACCACTTTTGCCTTTTTCTAGGATCCTTAGTTTGTTCTTCCCAATCTTTTTTTCCTCTTGATTGGTTCTGTCCTCACAACTTGGTTCATCTATCCTTCTTGGTCTTTCCTTCTGTTCCCTGGAGAAGCCCCTGCATCATCTGAGTATCTGCCTGACAAATGAAGAATTTAACATGGAATTTTGCACGTGTGTTAACTTATTCTTACTCATCCTGCTTTTTCTGATTGAATGGAAGTCAAGAGATGCACATTTGAAACAGTATAATGTGACTCAGACTTTGCTACATCATGCAGTACTATTTTATCCAATTTCTCTTCATGTACCATTACGGAAGACAGCTAGTATTTCCATCAGTTATCTGTAAATGACAAAATAAGGAAGAAACAAGAGGAAAATTACAGTTAGTGACATAGACACTTATCTGAATTGATGACATATAGAAAGACTCTATACGTAATAATTCATTCTCTTTTCTGCCAGGCTGATTTTAGAAAAAGTAATTACATTTATTGCAGTTTAATATGACCAAATAGCCTGTAATCTAAAATTGTTCTCCTTCAGTTATAGGCAAAATCTATGACTACGGTATAGATATGTGGTCTGTAGGCTGTACATTGTATGAACTTTATACTGGGAAAATATTATTTGCTGGGAAAACCAATAATCATATGTTGAAACTTGCTATGGACCTCAAAGGAAAGATGCCAAACAAGGTAAAGAAATGAAATCCTTATAAAAATCAACAAAACAAGGTGTCCCCCCCCCCCCCGAAATATTCAATAGCCAGCCAACTGTCCTGTAGAAAAAGATATATAAATGTTGTTGGAAATTGCTTATAGATGTAATGCTAATTAATATTAAATCACAAATAAACAGTATTTTAAGTAAAAAAAAAAAAGAAAAAAAGAAATCCAATACTTTGTGGAAGGGTGGGGTAGACTTGTTTCAGTTTTCTGGAGTTAAACTCATAGTGTATGACAGAACGATTTAAAGTTTTTTTTTTCCATTTTAAGAAAATGTACCGAAGTTCATTTTTGTATTTACCCATCATTGAAATAAATGGGTTTACTGTTTTTAGGATAAACACTTAAAAGCCGCACTTTTAACATTTTTTAATGCTGTTCTTTCCAGATGATCCGAAAAGGAGTGTTCAAAGATCAGCACTTCGATCAAAACCTCAACTTTATGTACATAGAGGTAGATAAAGTAACAGAAAGGGTAAGTAATAGAATAAGCAAGATTGCTTTCTGTGGCATCCTTAATTAAAATTTATCATAAAGGTGTTATGATGTATAAGAATCTTCCACAAATAAGAACCTTTCATTTACAGGGAATTGTGAGGTATAGTATAGTAAAGAATTCAAAATATACTAGGTTGTGCATAAACCTGAGCTGACTAAAACATTTGTTTGGTTTGATTGCATTTATTTATAAAAGATCCTTCTGTCCTCTTCATGCTATTATTCTTAAAGATACAGGTTTTTTAACCCAGACATGAGAAACAGGTAGCTATGTTAGGCTTTATGTTAACTTACAGTTCCATTCCTGAAGCTCCAGCACTTAGACTCTGAAAACATAAAAGATCCAAGGGAAAAAAAAAGATGCATTAAAGTTTTGTAATTTCGAATGATCACTAAATGAACTGTTGTGAGAACTACCTGTAGTTATAATACTGTGGAAGTTTTGTTTGTCCCTTTCTGTTTTTCCAATTGACAACACTAGGGCCATGGTACAGTTATTATTTGGGGAAAGTGTTTTGCTTTCAAAAGCCAAATTTCAGTTGCATAATGTGTATCTCTTAATTGGACTGGCCATTTCATATTCTTGGTAATTTTACTCTTATCTTGAAAATAAATGCTGGATGCCCTTGTCTTGGTAGGAAAAAGTGACTGTGATGAGCACCATTAATCCAACAAAGGACCTGCTTGCAGATTTAATTGGGTGCCAACGCCTCCCCGAAGATCAGCGCAAAAAGGTTCACCAGTTGAAGGACTTGTTGGACCAGATCCTCATGTTAGACCCAGCTAAACGGATTAGTATCAACCAGGCCCTACAGCATGCCTTCATCCAGGAGAAAATTTAAATCCAGTGAAGATATTCAAAGGGTTTGAATAGTTAATATACAAAGACTGATGAAGTTTCACTGCAATTTATAAATGTACATATAACATATAAATAATTCCCCTGCAAAATTGAGGAAGAATGATATATTTCAATTAACACAAAGGTGGATTATTTCTTTTAGAAATGTTAGAGTAAATCTGTTTGTCTCTCATGTGAAGATTTTTTCACTGTAGAATTATTTTAATTGCCAAGACTGCACAGGAGTACAGTGCTAAAATATATGGTTGCAGTTCCTCTCAAATAATACATACACACATGCGCACATGGACTATATATATATATATAAAAAAAAATCTGTGATGAAATATCAGTAAGACTGGGTGGTTGATTTTGGTTTTTAGCAAATTTGGCTTCATTTTTGTCTCTGAAAAATGGCCAGCATAAATGCTGTTTATATTACATTTTCCTAGGTGTGTGCGTGCAGGCCACAGCAGCATGCCCTTGGTGTAGTCAGTGCCGAAAGGGGTCTGTTCCTTCTTGAGCCTGCCCACAGGGATGGTCTCCTCTTTTAAAGCAGGTTGCGTACAACTTTCAGTACACTGAAGGTAAGCTAAACCATCAACATCACTGGTGTTTAAGATGTTAATTGTACTGGATCAACTGACAAACGAGAATCGGTCACTCTGTAGCAGAATTCCCTGCATGTTTTATAAAGGAGATATACCTATATATAAATATATATATAAATATATATATTATTTTCTGGCATTACAACTGTGGCATAATTCCAGCTTGTGTTTGATCATCACATTCAAAGAAAAAAAGTGGAGGAGTGTGCACTTGATGGAGAGAGCGCCTTCAGTGTACTGTTTATATTACTTTTTTTAAAATATCAACTTGCTACATAGACTTTATACCTTTTGTTAAATACAGTTCACGATGGCATAAAACCAGTACTTAAGTCATTTTCATTTACTAACAACAAATGCTAAGCTCTGGTTCCAAAAGTCCTTATCTCCTCTTGGCCAGATAGAAAGCACCACAATTTTTTTTTAGCTATTTGTATGTCATTTGAAAATGTACTGCTTTATGCTAAAGGTGTTTTCATTTGTTCATTGTTTTCATTATTTGTGATCATGTTGTCTTTCAATACAGGCATAAACCTTCCACTCTTGAACAAAGCAGCTGCTTTTTAAAAGCGGTAATTGCTTCTTTACCTTTTATTTCTTTTGTAAATGAAACTTTAAGAAATGTGACTTTAAAGTGTTGTCTCTTGCATAAAATAGTTGACATTCACTTATTGTAAAGTGAAGATTGTTCTGCTGCATGTAAAGTGGACCATGCAGATTTCTGTATGTTTTCGGTATGCATCATTAGATAATAAAGTCTTTTGTGAACAAGGCATTGGTAGCCCTTTTTAAAAGATTTTTGTCTCCGGCGTTGCCGACTCAGGTAAACCATAAGAACTTTCCTTTTTAATAGTCCTTTAATTAAAACAATTACTAAAAGATGTGATCCCCTGAAAGAACTTTTAGACTATTAATTATTGAAAATTCAATGTAAATATTGTCCCAAGCCCCCTGCAGATATTGTCTGCTTTCATTGTTAAGAAATTTATTCCTGTAGGTTATTGAATTAGATGCAGGTTTTAACTAATGTTTGTGCTGTTTTTCTTACTTTTCCTTTTTGATGGTGCTGAGAGAGACAAAGGAAAGCAAGTCACAGGCCACTCAACGCCTACTCCAGGGGGTCTGGTTTGCTGAGACACCATCTTCACCTTCCTAACAAGGTTATTTCTGACAGCATGTGTAGATAAACATTTAGCAACAACTTTAAAAATAGTTTGTTCATCATGAAGATACTCAACTGAATCAATTGTTTGCCAGCCCAATATTTTTTATTAAAAGCGGTTCATACAACAGATGATTCGTGTATGTTGCCTAGCTAAAACTTAGATGTTTTATAATATTCTGAAGTTTATAAGGATTTTTAAAATCCATAAAGGCATGTACTTAAAACGAAGTCATATTTAGTGCAGCCAAACCTATTGTTTGCTAATGGGATGCTTCCTAGGAGCTGTTCCCTACTATAATGGAATAACAAACTACGACAGTAGTTGATAATATTGTCTATTTTGAACCTCTACGCTGTCTCTCTAATGTTACTTAAAAAGTAGTAAAAGTGATTGTCAACTTATTTAAAATGTTTCTTGTTTGTGCAGGAAACAGAAAGCAACTTCACTGAAAGGAAGATATATATTACTTGATAGTCTTTTGCACACACAGTAAAGGGGCATGCTGTTTTGACAGTGCTATCAGCCTCCCTTGCGCATCTAGTGGCAATATGACACATGTCATAAAATGTGATGGTCTTCACCATTTGTTCGTGTCCCTGCTTCCAAATAATAAAAGACAGTTGTCATGACAATTCCAGTAGCAGCTACAACCTTCCCCCCCTCCCCCACTTATGGCTACAAAAATTTTAAACTTTCCTAAGAAAAAACAAAGTTGCTTGTTTACTTATTCTTTGTGTTATAGATGCCGTTCAAATGAAGATGATGGCAACCAGAAGACATGAACAAAGGTTTCTGTTCTCTAAAAGATATGCAAAACATTCTTATGTCTTTTTTTTTTTAAGAAAAAAAATCTTTTGTTCACAGCTCACAGATATAGACTTCATTTACACTTTCTCATGCCGGCAGTTCTTAGCATAGTACTCTTTTGGTGATGTTTTTTGGTTTTGGTTTTCTTTATACAAATGTTTGTTTCATTTCTGGATGATAAGATTTTTATTGTAGTAAAACAGATAGGCAACTGATTATATTTTAAATCCATTATAGAGCCTCCATGCACACCTTCAAAGTATAATCAAATGCTGTTATAGGATTGCCGACATAACTGCTTAAGACTTTATAATGGTATAGTCATAGAGGTAATATACTAAAGTATATTTGGGCTGCCAACTATTAATACTCTGTGACACTCTGTTAAAGTGACATAAATTATTCAGTCCTTTTGCATTTTTTTAAGCAACACAGTATGAATTTGGATGTCTGTATAAAAAAACCATCTGGATTCTGGTTTTGTTAAACTCTGCAATCTAATCCAATTCATACTGTACTGGTAGTTTAGCTTTTGCCTTATCCAGCAATCCTATTAGATGTTATGAATAAGGTGGTTTCACATAGAAGCCAATCTAAGTTTAACAAAAGATCTTCAAAGGGAGGTTATGAAGAAGCATAAGTGATGTTTAAAATTCCTAACTTTTGTAACAGTATTTCAGAGTTAGAAATATATTTTAAGTACTGTATGCTTTATTCTGTTCATTGGTGTTTTGTGTTACTGCATAGATTGTTATAACAGAAAAAATGTTTAGGAACAATTTTGGTAAATGATATTGAATACTCTGCTAATAATATGTTTCCCTTCCTATATAGGGTAAGTGGAAAATTTGTGACAGGAATTTACATGGCTTGATGTGAGCTCAAGAAGCTGAACCAGTCTGAAAATTCAGGATGATAATGTCTTTGCTGCTGAAATTGACAAGCTGTAACACAGAGTTTTGAATCAGCACAAAACAGAAATTTTCTTTAATAAAGCTTCATTTTCTATTTTAATATTGCCTCTGATAAAGCTTATTTTTCAGTTTCTTTGTTTATTCTATATTGTAATAGGTAGTAGTTCAGTAACACTATGTGCCAGTAGCCTGGTAATACAGAACCAATTTATTAATAGATGGTAAACAGAAACAGGTCACATTATTCATTTACTGTTTCTCTGGTGATTGCTCCTCCACTCCCCCGTGAGAAAATTGAGATACTTTTTACAAACTAATCATGTTCCCTAGCTCACTATTCTTTAATCTGTGCTCCTTCAGTATTTATTTATTATGTTTGTATCGTATCTTTTAGTCAGGAGTTCAAGGTGGGGGTGGGGTGGCGGCATAGGGAATATAGGATACTATACTGCATGGGCTTTCTGACTTATTGGTTGGGAAATTTGGGAGCCGAAATCCAAACACTGGGAAGACTCAAGGCTGTTGTCATTTATGTAAATTCTAATAAGTATCTGAAGAAAAATGCCTGGAGGCCAATCTTACCTTATAAAATTACATTTTTATATAGATAGCAAACCTCGGTAGAAATAAAGATGTGACTGGTATTGAGTCAAAATTTCAAAGAAGCTTGGGAAAGGATGCAAGCATTTTAAGAAGGTGAACTTGTCTTTCTAAACGTTTCTTCTGAATAATATTTTAAAGCATTGCAGCACTATCTGGTACTGGGTCCCAGTTCATGAAACGTGAACTTCACCACAATGTATTAAATGTGCTATAAGCCTTCTTATTTAACATTTTTTGGATACTCAGTTTGAATACAAAATATAGAAAAACATTTTGCTGCTTATAAATATTTGGGAGGTGTTTTTGGTAGAAATTTGATGAGATGGTTCTTCAGAAATTTCTAAACAATTTTCCACATACCATTCTCCACATACCCTACCAACATGGCCAGCAGTTAAGAATGCTGATAGTTGCATCTTGGCAACATCAGAAGCATCAGATATTTTCTACTCCAGGTATAGCTGTGGAAAATGGGATAATCCAATTTCTATTTAATTAGAAAGTTTAAAGCCACAGCACCTATCGTCACTTCCTATTTTTCAGTCTACCCTGTTTCCCCAAAAATAAGACATTCCCTGATAAACCCAATCTGGCTTTTGAGCGCATGTGCTAAAATAAGCCTCTCCCTGAAAATAAGCCCTCCCCAAAAAATATTTAAACACAGCTGGAAATCAGGTAAGACTGCAAGTAGAGCCCCGTCTTGCTGCACACGGCCCAAAATAATATCTCCCCGAAAATAAGGCCAAGTGCTTATTTTGGGGTTCAAAAAAATATAAGACACGGTCTTATTTTTGGGGAAACACGGTATTTAAAATTAACTAAAAAGACCCGGCTCAATCATTTATTTTTCCTTGTATAGAAATGATTACTACTGCCTTCCACAAAATCAAGTAGTTCAGTAAATTCAGAAATCGCACATGAACTCGTATAGCAATTGTTTAGAATGACACGACAGGTTTTCAACCCAGTCATTGTAGCACCTCCACAATTGCGATCATGATTTGGCAACCGGCTTTCAGTAAAATAGTTGCAGGGTCCCAGGATCACATGATCACCATTTGTAATCTTCCTTGCCAGCTTTCCACAAGCAAAAGTGGAAGCCAGCACAGAAGGTTGCAAGTTGCTTTTGCCAACTTTTCTCCCAAGGGGACCTGCTATGGATTACAAGATCTCAGGGGTTTTGTACTCCATAACAGAGGTCTCCAACTTTGGCAACTTTAAATCTGGAGGACTTCAACTCCCAGAATTCCATAGCTGGCTGGGGAATTCTGGGAGTTGAAGTCCTCCAGGCTTAAAAGTTGCCAAGGTTGGAGACTCCTGCAACACTAACCAAGAACACCTGCTTTAGCCTGTCCACAGCCTTTAATCCGTCTGTGCCTCAGCGCTGAGTCAAGGCACCCCCATAGCACCCGTTCCATCTTCTTACCCACCTGCCCATGACATTCCCTGTAGCATCTGCACTCCTCCAGCACTTCTTGCCTGGATTTCCCATCTCTTCCTGCTTAACAATGCAGTTCTGAGGTTACAACCGCAGCCACAACTACTGATGGGATTGCCACCCGAGCAATGCAGTCAACAAGGTTGCCCTTTACAGCTATGTTGCAAGCAACGGCGATTCTGGTCCTAGTTGAAATAGCCATAGTGTATGGCTGCATGGAGTGCTCGACTTACAATCACAACTGAGCCCAAAATTTCTGTTGCTAAGTGAGACATTTGTTAAGTGAGTTTTGCCCCTATTTTGACCTTTCTTGCCACGTTGTTAAGAGAATCATTGCAGTTGATTAGTTAGTAACCTGATTGTTAAGTGAATCTGGCTTCCCCACTGACTTTGCTTGTTAGAAGGTCACAAAAGGGGGATCACATGACTTTGGGACACAGCAACGGTCATAAATATGAACCAGTTGCTAAGCATCTGAATTTTGATCCTGAGATCATTGGGATGCTGCAAAGTTTTAACTGAAAAATGGTCATAAGTCACTTCTTTCAGTGCCGTTGTAACTTCACTAAACAAACTCTTGTTGAGCATTTGCAGGTGCTTTTTAAGCATTCCTGGGTTCTCTCTGCACTCAAAGGCAGATTCAGGGTCATTTAAGAGTCATACAGATATAAGCACTACCGAGACTGAATAATTTTAAGAGTTAATATACTGGTTGTAAAATGAATCTTAAAAAGAAATGACAATATTTTGTCAGTAAAGCGATAGCACTTTTCCTCAAATATATCAATTTTCTACTCTTCAACTTAATGTTTATTCTCTGAAACAGAATGAGGCGATCACTAAGCTGCAATATACACCTTTCAGATGGGCTGTGATTCTAGATTCATAGAGTAGTCCAACACAGTAATATCCATGAAAGCTTTGCCTCTAACAATGTCTATCATTTTATCCGTGCAAACAATTTCATGCCAATTTAAGCTCATCAAAGAACATAATCTTATGGAAGAAACAAGCAACTAAATCTTATTGCTACAAAAATGTTTCTGTTCCATATCCTCATTCCTACTCATCTATCATCATCCTGCGTTTGCCGCAAGTTCCCTTAAAAAGATTTTTTTCCCCCTTAGAATCCTGATGCACTTAAATTATGGCATGATGCTTATGAGGACTTTGAAGATGAACGTATAGAGGTTGCAGAATTTTTGTGACCGTGACACTGTTGACAAGTGCATTTTATAACGTCTCTTTCTGGCCTAAACAGGCAACACAAGCAATCAAGTGGCCTTGGCTGTTTTGATTGGTGTAACTCTTTTGTAGAAATCGAACGATTGCTAGCAGCCGAAACTGCAGAAACAGCCTCTCTTCTCTTTTCTCTTAAGATAGTTAAGTGCTGTAACCTTTCCATTTCTACAAGACGTGAGACAATTTTATCAAGTGAGTCATTAAGTGGTGGATTTATAGATGATTTCCAACTGTCGGACTTGGATAAGGACAATTTTTTTAAATCTAAATTATTATAGGGTGAAGGAAGAAAATCAGGGTATGGAAACTTGTCATTTTCAAGCAAAGAGAGAGCATCTTCCTGGTCCAAGAAAGAGTCTGTCTTTATGTTAACATTTAGATTTTTGAAATATTTCAGCAAAGCTATATTTCTTTTCTCACTCTCAGTCACTTCCTTTTCTTCTACTAAATGCTTGTTTTCTGCGTTAACATTTCTTTTTTTCCATTTCCATTTACTTGCTGAATGTATGTCATCACTGCTACTATCCGTAGCAAGGTAAGAATCTGAAGTGGTAACTTCATTGGTCTTTTTGAGAGAGTCTCCGTCATCTTTTCTGCAGTTTTTTTCTAATGCAGTCTTCTTAGTTTCTGGATAAGAAACAGGGTGATATCTCTTCGTAAAAAAATGTACTGGCGGATTAGTAGTGGCTAAATTTATAAGACCGTCACTGGAGCCAGATCCCAATTCTGCATCAGGTTTACTGAAGTCTCTGAAGAGAAAATGAAAAGAAGCTGAAATTGTGCTTGCGCGCTGTCCTCTTTATGAAAAGGCATCACAAAATCTGTATGAAAAACTAGTTGCCCCTGAAGTGCCACATAGAATACTCTGAAATAAGAGTTTACACTTATTTATTATTTTTTTCCCAGAAGGGGCAAGAATCAAGCACACAAGTGACTGAAAATATATGGCACCTCATCTACTTTATCACAGTTCACAAATCAGAAGAATTCTCAGATGATAGGGCAGGATGTTGCTCCCAGTCAACACAACAGACAACAGACACCAGACACCATCATGACTTGACAAATCTGAATGACTCTTATCAGCAAAATGTTATGCTCATCTTAAGAACATCCAGGTCGGACAGCAACTGGTTTTTCATTTTTTTAAAAATAAGGTCATTGGCCTCTAAACAGCATTGCAGGATGACAACCTAACATCTTTTCTACTGCTTCAACTCTCGCATGTCGCCAGGATAAAGGGAATTGCTGCAAGCTTGCCTAGAAATTTCTTAAGGGCCCACAAGAAACCAGCTAGGTACAGAAAGCACCTGGGCTGCATCATCTTAATCAGGCTATATGTACTGTGGAGAACTTGGGTAGCTAGTTTCATCTGGACTAGGAAGTGATCTGCCCTCCACGAAAGATATATATAAATGTTCCTCATATTCGACTTACTACACACCTGCTCCAAAGCAAAAGTGACTATGTGAATAGTCACCAATGGAGACCCTGAACTCCCAAATTCTGCTTAAACACCCCAAGAGCATGGCAATTTAAATTGCTCAACATACGGACTTTTAAGATTGCTATTAATTATTAACAATTGCTATTAATAACGTGTTTCTCAGAAAATAAGACCCGGTCTTTTTTTTTGCTTCCAAATGAAGCATTAGGTCTTATTTTGGGGGGATGTCTTTTCCACTGAGTGACCCCATGGCAGCAGCACCGACAGCCCCGTCCAGCATGAGCCGGTGTGACTGCTGCTGGCCCACTTCTGCAGGCACTTGCCACTTGCACATGGTGCCCCCCGGCCTCCGTTTTGCCATCAGAGGCCT